ATATATATATATATATGTAGTAGATACATATACACACATAAGCTATAAATGGCGAAACCAATCAGAGAAGAGAAACGCTGTTCGCTCCATTCTCTCTTGATTCTCTCTGGCATTACTTAAGGTGTCCGACCGATGGCTAAAACCTCTTGAATGTTGTCATGTCCTCGATAACATTCGTCAAGATCAAGCCATGGAGATTATTCTTCTTATTTTTATTTTTGCACTAAAAATTCATTTTTACGTAAAAATGAAAATAAAAGATATAATCTCCAATGGCTTGATTTTGACAAACGATATCCAGAATGTGATCCTGCACAACTTCAAGAGGCCGTCGGACACCTTGAGTAATGTTAATGTCAGTATTGTAACTTATAAGCACCAACAGCAACTCGAAAAGTATTTAATAAAAAATAACTTTATTGTAGTTTTGGAAAGCTCTCGACATCGACTATTAGATTCTGGAATCAAAAATAGGATATTCTATTTAAAAAAATCGACGTAACTTTAATCTGACCTTGGCGACACTACCCAAAGTCAACTGATCAGTAAATAGATCTCTTTGAACCTTACAACTTTTTTCTAAACAATTTTTCTCAATAATGCCGCATTATCGAGATAAAAATTTATAATGCTTTATTTTGAACATCCGGTATAGAGCTGTGCGTGCGTGCGCGCGCGAGAGCATGCCTATGTATACACAACGTGTTTCAGATCTGTATCAGCTATTTAAAACTGATGTAAATGATTCCAAAATTTTAATAAATAAATCGGATACGTACTGGTGATATTTTCAACTTCTGGTTCTGGCCGAAATAAGTCATCCAAACAGGAAGTTTCTTTTTTCGATTTTCGAGTAGAACATGGTATTTTTTTATTGTTGATTCGTATTTTACGAAAAAATATAAAACTTTTTTCAAAAATGTTTGTATTAATATGAAATAATTTTGAAGTTCGATTAAAAAAAAAATCAACTTCTGGTTAAAATAGCTCATTTGTGATCGGAACCGGATTTTTTTTATAAAAATCATTTACCTCGGTTTTAAATGGGTGATCTGATATACATACATTATAAAAAAAATATATAGTAAATTATTAGCAAATTTACATAATGAAATCTGATATTTAACAGGCTAGAGAATGCAGTTGCTGCAAGGCTGTGATATTTTCAATGTTTAACAGACGACATCACTGTCGACGATGTGGCCGTGTTATTTGTGCTATGTGTTCTCGGCATCGTATGCAAGTTGCTGGTTATCCCAGTTCCGTGTTGGTACGCGTGTGCGATGATTGCAAACATCAAACGATATTACAGATGCGTGCGGCGCAAGGTGTTCCATCGACATCCAGTAATGAGCTATTTGATTATTGGCGATTGACAAAAGATGAAAAACATAATCACACCATAAGAGAAGAGTTCTCATTTGAATACGCGCCAAATATTTCGCTGTGTCTTGCTATTCTTAACTTATATTGCGATTCTAAAATATATACCAGGTAATAAGTATAGTGAGAAAGATAAGAAATATAATAAAATATATTTAATTTATAAGAAATAAATAAAATAATTTCTTTATATAGTTTCTTATTAGACCGTTGCGATGAGATGAAGCGATTACTCCAACCCGTTAGTGGCGACAGGATAAATCCCGAAATCGATCATGCGGTAATCATCAAGATGATACGTTCTCTGTTAACTGCAGCTAAAATGAAATGCGCGAAATTTGGATTTAATACTGGCCTCGCGCACTGCGATCGATTCTTATCGCAAGTGGATCTAATTGCAACTCTAGTCCAATCCGATTGTGTGACTCTTATACCGATGGACGATCTCGACGAGCACACGCTGAGGAAATTGCGTGATCTCCTCACCGAGAAGGAGCGTTGGACGTTGGCGTTGGACGTCAGCACAAAGGCAGGATTGGATACACAGGGTGTGTGGGCCGCTTGGGGAAAAACTTGTTTGAAGGTGGGACATTTAGAACAAGCAAAAGAGAAGTTTCAACATTGCCTTGATAAAATTACACATGAGGATCTTGACGATTGGGTCATGCTATTTTATCCCAAGGAGCTGATCGAAAGTCCTAAGAAAGAGTTAACGGTAAAAATGACGCAGTCCACGCAGAAGGAGAACGAAATATCGGATGAGGAAAAACAAGCGTGCAAAACTGATCACTTGAGAAGAAACGAATATTTTAAATGTCGACCGCTAAAAGATCCACCATTGCTAACGGAGATTCTACAAATATTAGATACTTTAAGCATTTATCGATCCCGAACACAACATCCAAGTCCGCAATCCAAGTCTGATACGGCGCAAGAAATCCTGCAAACGCTCAATAGTCTGAAAGCTGTTAGCCAAAATCAATTTAACGTTAAATATGTAATACCCGCTAATCAAACGGTTTATTATCAAGAAAGTTTGTATTATCTATTGGCATACGGAAGTTACACCTCTATTTTACAATTTTTCTTGAGACATAAAGAGTTTGATAAATGTCTTGTATATATCTTAGATAATAACATAGAACGTGATCTATTTCTTAATAGAGTTTATTTGTACTGTTTGAAGAACGGCCACGTTGAGAAACTTCACAATGCGATGAGGACGAAAGATCCTACTTTAATTACTTGGCGGAAATATTTAATATCCGTCTGTCATTTCATGGAAAGAAAACAATATTGGCATATTTTATATCAGATACAGCTCTTTATGAGAGACTATGTACGAGCATCGATAACGTGCATCCGTTTTTATACCAATGAAGCGAATACTTATTCAGACTTGCACAACAGGGCGCATCTGTTACAAGATGCTCAAAAGCATTTGGAATTGGAATTGCAGACAGAGAGCTTGACTAAAAGAAGAAAAAACATAAACTTTGATCACAGCAGTCAAAATACTTTAATGATGGAACCCTCAGAGATAGACAGACATATAAACACTATATGCAGACAGATGGAAATCGTCAAGTTTCTAACAAACTGTGAAAAAGAGGAAAGATCTTCAACTGAATTTTTTAATCTCTTTCCAGATATTGACAGCGATAATTTTCAGACACTTCAGTTACCTACATTATTTGGCAACCAACAACAGAAGATACATCTAGCCGTTTTAGCTATATTATGCGGTCGCGATATTGAAGAAGGATTTGGCATAGCTTTCAGAATAATGCAAGGTTGGTAGCAATCGGTGATGTGGAATGAAATTTATATACAAAATGCAATAAACTCATAATAATATGTGTTATAGATAAACTAATATTTTGTCAATGTGTGTCTGTATCACTTTTACAGATTATAATCTTCCACAACAGAAGGTGTATTCTTTAGCTGGCCATGTGTTAGCTTTAAAAAATAATATAGCTGCAATTGAGCAATTGATCAAGTGTTGCCGTAGCTCTGGAGCACCTAATGCCCACATTATTTCGGATCATGTTTTGGCACACTGTGTGAAATTATTGTTAACTCATTCATACACTGAACAGATTCCAACAATCAAACATCACATAGATATTTTAATCAGGCTAATAATCGACACAGAATTAAGAGTGAGATCCTTTTCAATTATGTCAATATACAGGATGATTCAGCTAAATTTTATGATCTGTTTTGACTCTGACTTTTGTCCCATTGACATGAGGTCAGTTATATTTGAGATATGGACTTATGATAGTAGATTTTATCTGATAAAGTTTCCAGGTTATCTAAATTATGTTCTCTAAAAATTATTAAGAGATGATGGAAGGATGCTAGATAATCGTGGATTTTGTTCTACAAAACTTGCCATACTTTTAAGAGTAATTAAAGCTCTTATCATGTTTTTAGATTTAAAAAGTGTATTCAAGAATTTGAAATTTATACTTTTTAATAAATTTTCGTTTTGCAGTGTAAAAATCAGTGTAAAAATCTTAGGATGAAATACGTTGATTGATCAATGTCTGAAATTTTGTGGTGGTCAACAGAATTTTGATTTTTGTAAAATTACATCAATTTTTGTTTGACTTTGAGATAATTTTCAATTAGTACAATCATGTTAGTACAATCATGACTTTATTATTTTATGACTTTATTATTTTAAATTTTAAAAATTAAAAAAATGAATTTTTGTTTGATTTTTAGATGAGCTTTTCGTCCTAAAAATGTTATCAGATAAGATTTGAAGATGCCATAATAAGCTCACATCTTAGATGTGACTCAGATATAACTCTCTCTCAAAAGTCAAAAGTTTTATGCTAAAATAAATCATAAAATTTAGTTAAATCACTCTATATCAATATATGAGCATGTAAATATACATAAACTTTGTAACACTTTAAATATGTCAAAAGAGATTTCTAATGTACTTTATTTATATATTTTGCAATATTATTCTTTTCCAGATAAATGCATACATTGAAAATAAACAACTAAAAGCTGCATACTTGCTTGCAGTGAAGTATTCTAGAGCACAAGATATAAGGAGGATCTTAAAAGAATCAGATAGACTTGGTCAAAGTGCAATTAAAGCAATATGCTTAAAATGGCTACAACAAAAACCGAAAAAATAAGTTTGAATCTATTCTGACAAAAAAAATTGAAAACAAATATGTAATAATCTATATGCAGGATGTTCAAAAATTTCGAAATTTAAAGACTTGCTACTGAAATGTCTAATCAATAAAAAATTAATCTTTATCAGAAATAAAAATGATTTTTTTTTGTTTTGATAATACAGTTTAATTTTAATTTTTCATAAAATATGTAAATCAATTCTCCATTACATGTAAAAAAATTTTAAATCACCCAAAATGAATTACTTATAAGAAATATATTTTATTCTAAAATATATTAATTAAATATATTTTGGATGCATAAAATATCTTATAAAATATCTTATTTTTCATGATCTTAATATTATTTGCGAAATGCTTTAAAAAAATTGATTTATATAAAAATTCATGTAGAAAGAACGCAAAACCTTATTTAAAAAAAACATTGTCTCTATCAAAGTTCAAAAAATTTTTTATATTTCTATATTAGATATAGTAAAAAGAAATCCATTATTTTTGCATGAAATTGAATGGAAAAATAATGGATTTCTTTTTACTACACCTAATATACTGTTTTTCTTAATTTTTATTATCTAGGGATTATACTGGGAAACAAAATTTTATCGCTCTCATTTTGTTTCACATGTTTATGGTTATTTTTTAACATCTGTAAAAAAAAACAACAGGAGCTGCTAGAATTTTTTAATTGGAGTAAAATGTACGTTTAAACCTTGGTTACATTTAAAGACTTATCTTTTAGGCTATTGATCGAAATATTAGGTGCTATTAACTTAAAGTACTTTTTTTGTTAAAGATTTATTATGCGATTTTACAGTACCCTACAGGGCATTCTATTGAGAAATACTATTGAGGATGAATCAAATATAAACCAGAATTATTTTTGTACGCGCCGCGAGATAAACAGACAGGTGCAGTTTCTAAGCATTATAGGTAGAGATGTCTGAAGAAGATTAGGGGACCTCACATTGTGACCTCGCTCCTTTAGTCAATATTATGAGCAAGAGGTACCCTCATCCTTTGACTTATATAATCAAAGCCCTCATCCATTGCACGGATTATTATCAAGTTTCTTACGACGGAGGATCATCCGAAATTTTGAGAAGGCTTAAAGCACAGTTCGGGGACAACAGAAGGCTCAAATGAATGTGTGATATAAATAATTTTTGGATGAGAAGCAGTTGAAAATGAAGGTCACCAATGTCGCCCAAAGATCAGCGTAACTGAGGAAAATATTCGCCTTTTTGGCCGAGGATGCTTAACGGTTGCTGAAATTACTTCTAAGATCGGAATACGCTATGGCAATGCTAGTGTTCAAGCAATCATTACTGACAAACTTGGGTTTTGAAAAGTGTCCGCAATATAGGTCCCTCGTCTAAAGCACTAGATGTGAATATTCTCATCCGCCATTTTTTCCACTTGAATGATTGATTATAGTACAATTAGTGACAAAGTAAATATAAATTGCAATTTCAAGATGTCTTGTTGCGTTGTAATAAATTGTAGCAGCAGATCCGAAAAAGGTTGCAAATTATTTAGATTTCTGATAGTTGTCATTTATCAATCAAGTGGAATCAAATTGATGAGAATACTACCTATCTACATCTCTAGTACTCTACTCACCAAAAATTAGAAATGGCAGCGAGGTGTGCAAAACGATTATTGACACGTTACCAGGCTAAAGGGGAGGCTTTTTGCATTGGATTGTTAGTTGTGATGAAATTTGAGTGTACCATTTACACCCTGAAATTCAAACAAGCCATGCAGTGATGAAAGAAAGAAAAATCTGCACCCGCCTTGGTTCTCAGCTGAAAAAAAGTTCTTGCAACTGTATTTTTAAAAGAGTTTGACACAATCGATTTTCTCCACGAACGTCCGTGAATGTTGTATACTACTGCTTTTAGATGAAACAAAACTTGCATATCATCAGAAAAGAATTTCCAATACAAGACGTTATCCTGCTGCACAATGTCCGGCCAGTCCAATATAATTATCCAAACTCGACAAAAAATTGAAAATTTGTTCTGGATTACACTGGAACACTTTCCCTATAAGTAGGGATTTATTGCCCTGCGATTATCATTTGTTTAGACTACTACTACGACTAAAAAGCACTTGGAGGACAGAGATTTGATGATGATGTTGCTCGAAGCGCGATTGGCTGTCCACCTTCATTTTACGAAAGCAGGATGAAAAACCTACCTATCCATTGAGAAAAATATGTTTCTAAGTCCGGAGATTATGTAGAGAAATAACTTTGTATGTTTGTATTTTTATGATGGTCCAATAAATTAAAAAAAATAATAATTCCGATTTATATTTGATTCACCCTAATAATATTAACCCTAAATACACACACTTCAAAAAAGTCCCTATCTACGCACATCTGGATATACAGTGCGTCACCAAAATCCGGACAAATTTCAATTTAAATTTTCCGGTATATTGTACTTCCGTCAGAGTTGTTGTTGGCAACAACTCCGAGAAAGTCTGATGCTTCTAGTAAATAATCATATTCTCAAAATGACCGCGATATTGAAATCAAGTACGAAGTATAATCGAAGGGCCATGATCATCGAAGATCTTCACGCTGGGTGCTCAGCAACGGAAATATTTCGATTCTTTGGATACCCGATTAATCGTTTATGATGTTATAGCAAAATATACGATTTCAGAACAGTCCAACGAAGGTTCCAGTATGCCAGCGAGGAAGAGTTATTCGAAAGAACGCATCGTGAGGACTCCCGCAGTCGTTGAAAGAGCTGATTTCGAATGATCCAAGGCAATCGTGAAAATTAGCATCGATTGTTGGTGTAAGCGAGCCAACAATGCGTCGAATTGCCGAGGAGGACAATGTCAATGACAAATTGTACCTTCGATACAAATTCGTACACATTAAAGATATGATAGATGCTCTCTGCCAGGACAAGCCGAGTTGCTCGCCTCGGCTCTCATTCTGGCCTCCCAACAGCTCAGATTTAAATCCCTTAAACTACTATGGAGCATAATTGAAAGGATTATGAACAAGTCTCGGCAATGCAATATGATGTCATCAAGGACTTCATTAAGGACTACTATTGAGATAACATTTGTCAGCATGGATAGCGCTACATTATAGCGTGCATGCGAATGCTTTAGATTGAAAATAGAGGCCGTCATTCAAGCTAATGGGGGATATATTGAACAATTGTACTCTATAGGGATCTTCCAAGTGCCATGTAAATGAACTTTTTGTAATATTTAATTTTTCATTAACATTTTGTTTAAAGAAATTGTTCGATTTGTCCAGATTTTGGTGACGCATCTTGTACACATGTAACCTCATGTTTTCTTATGCTTGTATCTCAAATTATAGTGCATCGATTTTAACTAATTTTTTTTTAATCATTTGAAAAAAAGAATTTTTGAGTTAGAAAGTAAAATCCAACACAAAAGATATTTTACAGTAAGTGAAAAGAGATCGGGAAAAAATATGAAAAAAACGAATTTTTGTCAAATAAATGAAAAAAGTTTTATTAGATGAATCAACAGCTAATGAGTTGAATTTTTAAGAAACTATAAGCATTTTTGTGATTTGTTCTAAAAATGATATTTTTTTACAAAGTGAAAATGAGTGAATTTACAGTTTTATGGAAACTAATCGTAAACTAAAATCTTTTCCGAATTTTAATAAAAATAAATAAATAAAGTAGTCCTATCGTTCTTCTACAGTAAATATTAACAATTTATTATTATATTTAGTATTTGCCATTAATGAGGAAGAAGAAAAAGTCTTTTTCTGAACTATTAAGAACACAATAAAATTACTTAAATCATTTTGTGATGTGCACTCATGATTAAAATCATAAATAATCCAATTAATCATTCCTACTTACATTTCAACTGTACAGTAAGTCTGGATTTTCTGACGTTGTACCTACAAGGAGTTAGGATAATCCCAACACGTACTTTATACCGTACAATTACGTAGCTAATGGTGCATTAAGCGAGGGGGGGATTACGCTAACCTCTTGTACGTACTGAGGGTTAACATTTATTGAATTGGAAAAGTTATAAGCGTCGTAAAAAAATAATAATATAAATTTATATAAGAATCGGGGACTCGGACCAAAACCGATAAATGGACCGAAATGTTGTGCAGGCTAATGAAACCATAACCGAAAATATTTTTAACATTAGGTTTCAGACCAGTTCGGATTTTTTAATCTCTTCGATATGTACGATCATCGACTACAGTTTACAGCCACCAAACATATATATCCTCCTCTATGATGTAATCATACAGATTCCTATGGCCGAGCGTCAGCTATGATGAACAACAAAAACAATGCGTTTTCCCTTTTACAGTCGAAAAAGAGAGGAATGCTCGCCTGTGGTTGATCGGTTCTTGCAACACTTGTAAAAATGAATAAAGACTTAATTCCCAACAGTCAGTAAATAATTGTAAAAGGCACGAGAAGAAATTTATCAAAATTTGTTCAATGCACATGCATAGCCTATTTTCATGTCACGTTTCTTTTACCACTATTTACTGACTCAGAAGGAATCAAGGAGGAAGTATTCGCCTATTTTTACAAGTGTTTTAAAGCAATCTCATTATTTGGTTTTATTTAAATTCTCTTTATTTACAAATATTATGCAAGAAACTTTAACGTGTCATTTCTCACTTATGACGTCATAATCCAATGTTGCCACAGCGATTACTCAGGAGAGTCTTAAAGAAGAAAAGGATTTTAAGCAGCAATATTACAGGGAATCCATGGAGTGTTACTTTCTTTGCTTAATTATATTATTAATTATATACTTATAATTATAATTTACGATAATTTACGTAAGAATAATATGTTTTTATAGAAAATTATATTAAAAAGCTGTAAACGACCATTGGCGACGCTACAAATTGCTGACGTATAAGTCGACATAGATGACATCACAGAAGATAATATAAGTGAAACAGCAAAGAAAGAAAAAAAATGATCTGTTTACTTTACAATTTTACTAGTTTAGAGTAAGAACGGGCTTATGCCTGTTTCTACTGATGCAACTAACTCTTCATCTTTTTCTAGTTTTAAGAATTAGAAAAAGATGAAGAGTAAGGATCTTAGCAGAAAGGCTGACTTATAATCTTAAGACAATATTTTATGATTAAGACTCAATTCCACAATTCACCGTTAACTCTTAATCGTAGTTCAACTTATTCCTCATCTCTTTTTAATTCTAGAATTGAAAAGAAATAAAGAATAAGTTGAACCTCGGTTAAGAGTTAACCGTGAGTTGTGGAACTGGAGCGGACCTAAGTCTCGTGTCTTCAATAACGCACAAGAACTGTCTTAAGATTATAAGTCAGTCTTTTGCTAAGGCTGAACCGAGATTAAAGTTAAACTGCATTGGGCTTTACACTGTTTAGCGCTTACATACCTCCAATTCAATTATATTGTCTTAAAATAAACATGAATTTTCTTAAATATTTATGCTGGTTGTATTATCTTTCTCTACAGATAATCATATAACCGAAAAAACTTAAATCTAAATGGGTATAATCACCGTTATCGGTAAAAGAATCGAAACCGCTTGGATTTCGATTTTTTTCGATCCGAAATCGAAAAAAATCGAAAAAGATCGAAATCGTTATCGAAACTGGAACTGGAACCGGAACTGAAATCGAAAATTGGGTACAGTCTTTAATCGTAATCGGACCGAAATGAAATTTTGGTCCGAGTCCTTGATAAGAATCATAAAAATTATTATATATAATTGTTTTTATTATTATATATTAAAAAATTGTTACTGAGAGTATTTTAAATAAATGGCATCGCAATTTTCAATCTGTAGCCTAAAAAGGGGCAAAGTTTAAGCTTTTATTTTATCCCAACTAGGAGGTTCTAGAAACTCTCATTGTTTTTCTACAGATATTGAAAAATGACATTGAAAGATGACAAAAATGACATTTTTTTGTACTTTTAACCCCGTTTTTGTTTAAAAACTAGAGCTAATCCTATTTTCGTTTCTAGATTTAGATTCGGAAAAAAAATCTATCGGAAAAAGTTGTTTTCGGCTTCAAAACAAAAATCCGTGTTTCCCAGTGCTATTTTTAAAACTATTCTAGGATTGGAGTAGATAAAAATCATTGAAATATATTTAAGGAACGTATTTATTGTAATATAATAAAATTTTTTTATATCCATTACAAAAGTTTCCATCTGTGTGTGTGTGTGTGTGTGTGTGTGTGTGTGTGTGTGTGTGTGTGTGTGTGTGTGTGTGTGTGTGTGTGTGTGTGCGTGCATGCGTGCGTGCGTGCGTGGGAGCGCGTGCGCGACACAAAATATATATATTTACATACTTTACACATTGATATATTATAAGGAAATTACAAATGTAAACTTTTTTAAAATCTAAAATTAATTTATCTAGAAAAAATGATCTTTTTCTAAAAATTAAAATTAAGCTCGTGAGAAATGAACAGATCTGAGACTTTGAGTCATAAACTAGATTTTCAGTTGAAGAATTATTCTCACGTCTTAAATTTATTAAAAGTTCTTGAAACTAATATAATTATTATTAATATACTAACATTAATTTTGAAAATTATATTCTCTCTTGTGTTTCATAAAAAATTAATTACGTCTTCTTAAATCTAAACTAATTCCTATTTTGCATAATTTTATTTTTACAACCATTTACGTCATATCCATGTATATATACGTATGAAATCTATAATAACTAATAATAGTTAATGTAGATGAAATGTGACTATAATGATAATGTTTTAAGTATAAAATATGAAATGCAAACACAAAGGAATGTATATATAAAATAAAAAACATATTTCTATAACATAAAAAATAAGAAAAACAAATACAATTTTGTAAATATCTGTATAATTGTGTGACTGATTTTAAGGAATTTCTATTAATTTGATATTTTATATTAAAATAAATAAATATAGTATAGCCATACAAGAGCCAAGAGCAACAGAACTTGATGCATAAATTAAATTATATTTAATGTTTTTTTATATCGAAAATGGTTTTCATACAAGAAGACGTAATCTCTTTATTATAAAATTTTTATTGCATTCTGAAGAGGACTCAATCACGTAGCCGAAACATGTCAAGCAACAATGTATTTAACTCTTGAAGACTCGGACATTATTCTTAAATTTTCTGATCATCTGTTAGAAATAAATATATCAATTTACGCAAGTTCTAATTGACTCTTATATATTATCTTTATTTATTTTAATATTTGTTATTTCGAGCCCTTTATTACTTCTCTATTCTTATTATTTTTGATATTATCTTAGCTACATCTATTTCACAATGATATATATTTTTATAAATACTTTATGATGTCAATGTGAGTTAGAAAAAATTCTTTTATTTTGAAAGCGACATAAATTAAATTTTGATATACAGAGTCTCCCATTTTAATTTTCGCATTGAAATATTTCAAAAAGTATTAAAAATATGAAAAAATGTTTTAAACAAAAGTTTTCCATTTGTCTTTTGGATATGTTACAACAATCAAAAAATTTTAGCCAGTTGAACATTTTGAATAATGTTAATAATCGACGGTATAACTTTCAAACATTATATTTCGAAAAGTATTAAATGAAAAATATTTTGTTTTGAAATATAAATGTTTTGAAAATGTTTTTCAAAGTAATTTAAGAGAATGCAATGTGCAAAAGTAGGGGTTTTATTTAAAAAATTCAAAGTGGCTTCGTTCTTTAACACCATTCAAGATCAAACTAATAATAATTTCTTATATCTCCCTCAAAGTCATAAAATTTTTGTTAAAATATTTTTTGTACTTTTCAAGATATTTTGATACAAAGGTTAAAATGAGACATCCTGTATAAAGAATATAATTATGGAAATAACTTGATATATAATTAACATGGTTTATTTATGACACTTTCAAATTAATGTGTGTGTGTGTGTGTGTGTGTGCGTGTGTGTGTGTGTGTGTGTATGTGTGTGTGTATAGGAAATAAATATACAATATAAAAAGTCCTAAATTTATATTAATTTTTAAAAACAGAAATACATGTCTCTCTGTCTAGAATTTGTAAGTTATAGCATAAAATGGTTGCTTATTATTGTTTGTCTTCTTCTAATGATGATAATCTTTCTTCATACATTTCAGCAAACTTACTGTCTGTATTCTTAATAGCTGCCAACAAAGAATTTTTCTCATATTGCGACCAATTGCTACTCCATTCTCTGAAGAGCTTGACGCGACACTGAAACAAGCTAGGTGGCCTGTCAGATTCGCAATTCAACTTCTCTATTCCGGTCACCAATCCATTCACAAGTCCTGCAGGACCACAATTCTCCAGCAACACGCCCAGAAAATCATTCCGCTGCATTTCGGACCATTCTTGAAACCATTCTATCATGTAACGCAATTGAGCCTCGTTTGACAGCATAGTAGACATATTCTCCCTTAAAAACAAAAATTTCAAAAGTCAGCTGCAAATGTTGGCAGAAACAAGATACACAAAGTTTATCGTGAATTTTTATTCACTTTAAAGATAAAGATAAAAAATATAATAAGTATAAAATTTGTTAACAATATTTAAAAACGACAGTTTCTTTTTTTTAGAGAGAAATTATATTTTCTACACATATACTTATAAATAGCCAAATAAATACAATTGCCAGTTTTTCATTTTTTATTTATATCACATCTTCGTAATCAGATGAATCAAACTGTGACAACAGTACTTAGCTCAAAAAAATATTGTTATTGCCATAAGAATAGAAACAGTATGTAATATCGGGGAAAAGGAACTTGTGCGAACGTTCTCGTTAGGTTATGAACACCATTCTCGATAGACGTAGCTAGACGATCTGAGAAATACCTATGTAGAATACCGAACAGAAATGGAAAAATAATTGACTTGACGGGTGTGCAATGATAAATTACCGAGTCGTATACGTGGTCTTGGCCAGACTGTTCGCACCGCCACGTCCGTCGTCGTTACTTAACAGTTAACGGCTATTGTTCTCATGCGTGTTATCTCGCTCTAGCCGCTAGCCAGTTGTCATCATCGGTACAGCGAATTCGATAAAAAAATAACACGCTTCGGAATCATACAGTTGGAAATGAGGACATATTCATAAAACGACACTCGTACACTATATTGAAGTATTAACAGTGTAATATTTATTAACGGATGATTACAATTTAGGTCAATTTGGATTTTTTGGGGTTAGCCCGTATCTCGTCTTCCTTCTTCTCTTCTTCTTCGAGAGAATCCGAGTCAACGTCCGAAGAGATCGATTGATTCATCATTTCTGTCAAATTGCAAAAATCGAACTATACATAAATAATACAGGAGAAAAAAATTATTTACAATTACAATCTTTATGTGTACAATCAAGCTATTAATCGTACCACTGGACACATCTCGCCGTTGAATAAGTGTAGTTAAAAAACAGTTGATCTCCAATTGCACATCTCGCAGATTCTGTATCAAAGTCCTCAGGTCGTTCCCATCAGACCGGATAGTCTCGTGCTCATGGATGCACTTTTCCTCATCATATATTCTTACTCGTACGCCAGTAGTAACATTCATTGCCCCGATGGATATTTGAATTTGAATTTTACGTGCATGGTGCTTCTAAGCTATCACACGCAAAGGGTGCGTTCTTTAGGCATCGAATTTGACGGCCACTGCGCATCGAAATCTTCCGACAGTGCGATTGCGCAATTGATTTGAGAAAAAACCGTATCACATCCGTATTCATAGTCCTTCCTTGAGGAATGAAGAAATTCCTTGTTCCTCATTTCATGTTTCATAAATCTTCCTTGACCAAAGGAGCCTTAATAGTTTCCTTTTCTCAAGGGAGGTTACGCCATTTTTGATAGCTTTTTTTCGGAAATAAATTCCTTTAAAAGCATTTTCTCCTTCTTCATATAATAAGTATTATGGCGAATTCGATTGGAAGCACTGATGCATAATAAAGCCATTGTACACTAATTTGAATATAAAAATAAAATGCAAATATTTCGAATTATAAAATACATATTTTATCTAACAGTACAATAAAATGTATTAAATATTTCACAATTTAATCGATTTCTATGTTATTTATAAACATATATTTACGTTATTTTGTGTATGTATGGCGATTTTAATGTGCATCAGTGCGCAATGAGTCCAATCAAATTCGCTATTAGTTTTATTTTTGTCCATTATTGTTGCAAAATGCTTAATCACGATCTTATTTAATCAACAATGCCTTTATAACCTTTATTATTCGTAATTCATGATATTAGATATGCATGTACTATATATTATGACATGCTACCCTCAGTTACTAAAATCCTTAAAATATTCCTTCCTTTGGAAAGGCAGACTTGAAATCCATTTATGAAACAAGGAGACTTTGGAAAATCAAGGAATCCTTCATGGAGGCTTCCTCCATCCTTAAAATAAGGAAGAATGAATATGGGTTTAAGTTCTTCTTCTAACTGACTTTTCTTTTTTAGTTTTCCGATCCCTAAAAAAAGAATCACCACATATGCGATGAATTGGGATCGAAAGATCCTGTGATAGTATCTATAGGGGATAAAGGTTTCACGTTTAAAAAGTATTGTACTGTAGAAATAGTAATTGCGATCGAGTTAATCTCGGTATACGCGGTGCGCGAATAAATGAAAGAGGTGGAATCGAAATTCGTTTTTCAGTGATCTCTTTTTTTCGTTGAACTTTGATGAGCTCACCACGCGTGTAGAGATAGGAGATATAATTAAAATAATTACTAATAGGATATTGGTAAGACCTTTCTATTGTATTATTGTTTAAGTTCATTATTACAAAATTTGATATCAGATTTAAAAACTAATATTGTTCCTTGTCGTGTCTTGTTTGCTATGTCTTATCGCATTAATAGAACTTACATTTGACAATAAAATCATTTTTATTTTGAATATAAAACTCCGATGTTAATTCATTTAAAACATAGATTAGATTGATGCAAATATTTAACAATTACTCATTAGGTTGATGTTCTCGAGATTGCTCGGGATCATTGTCTATTCTCTTCTTTTTCTTCTTCTTCTTCTTCTTCTTGAGATCTCCCTGAAATTTTGAGTTTGAATTTTTGACCCAACGTGCAGAGTCACAGTACCATGCGATAAATTCGACTCAAACGATTCTCCAGCCTTCATTATCTCTCGCAATAACAAAGGTCGAGACTCCCGAAGTTCCAACAACCAATTAAGTTCTGCACCCGCTCATATTGTATGTATATACATAACATATATGATTTATTAGTTTTCGATTTTTATTTAAAACTCTGATTTTAATGTTATCATCCTATTTGATTTTCAATAAAGATAACTACTGAGAAAAAAATTGTAATTTTTCGATAAATATATAAGATATATATTATAGCATTAAAAGTATGCGTACTTATTTATACAGCATTTATATAATAAAAAATCATGAATTTAATAATAAATTATCAAAATATTTATACATCGTGAATAATCGTAAATTTTTATTAATTGTCGGTAATTTTATTAATTGTCATCGTTCTTCAATTTTCTCCGGGCTCTCATAGAGTCCCACATTTAGAAGAAAAGTGCGACTAGTGTTAAGATTCATAGTCAGAGTTTACATTCAAGACCATCTTAAGTATAGTCTTAAGAAATCATGAACCAATCAGAAGATTGCATCTTAAGATATTATTTAAGACGATCTTGAAATAAGATTTGAATAACGACCTATGTGTTCCGATTGGTCATTGTAATCATGCGACTTAGCAGCCAATTACGAATTAATTAAATGGTTGCTTAATGAATGATTAGTGGATTTCATGGTCCATTTTACAAACGGTGCCATTTTTAATACTTTTTCTAATACTTTTTAGTACTTTTGCGACATAAGAATGCGACATAAGGATTAAGGTAAGTGACAATTTCATTATTTCATTATTTATTACATAAAAATTTGTTTATTTATTACATAATAAATAATTTCATTATTTATTAGTACATTTATTATACATGATTGATAGAATAATTAGGAAAATCATGAAAGTTGTGGAAAAGAATATATGCTCTAGATTTTAATTATAAAAAGAAATGCCACTTGAGCGGCTATGAATTGGAAAGATTGCAAAGGCCATCATTATCGGTAACAGGTGCATTTAATACCATATATCAATAAGCCACACAGAGAACAAAAATTAAGAAATTGATGAGTAAAGTTTATGTTTTTTATTTTATTCTTTTTTTTTAATTATAAATTAAATAAATAAATGTGAGAGATGAGTTTTTACAAACATGTATTTTCCATTTGCATTTGTATTGTTTAATACCAATATCTTGCAAACAATATTACGAGACAATGGAAATGTACTAATAAATGTATTAGTGTACATTATTAGTACATTAATAATTTTACATTGTACAATATGAATGAATTATTGTCAAAGTATCGAAAAACTGAAAGACACATTAGTATATAATTAATATAAATAGATAAAAAAAATAAATATTTATTATCGTAGAATAAGCGCTAATACTGTCGAAGTAATTCGGTTTTTTTTTTTTCGAAAATCAGAGAGTCGATTATACATAATCTTGAAATGAAATAAAAAGTACAAAAGCGAACAAATTCAATAGAATATTTATAATTTAATTGGTCAATACCTAGTAATCATTTTTGTAATTTTCACTTCATTTCAAAATACACAATCGAGCCTCAGGTTTAATTTAGCGTGGTCCAAGCAATTTTCCAAGTTTGATCGCTTGGTCATAAAATTTATACTGATGTGATGCACTTTCTAGCTTGCATGCGATGTCTTAAGAATAGATATCAAACAAAAGAAAGGAGAAACATGTCAATTAGATAAGTTAAGATTAACTTTTCGCATATCCTGTAAACATGAAAATTATCCATATGTAAATATAAAAATCCACATGTGCTTCTTTCTTGGCAATCGTGAATGGAATCGGTGTAGTAGAGGTTAGGTATCAAACCATTATGTCCTCTAGTGTTATGCCTAAACTGCTTCAATTTCATCACAGTTTTTCTAGGTAAAAATGGACGAAAGGAATCACCTATTAAGCTAGTCACATACATTTTCCGTAACAATAATCATAAACGTAACGTAGGTTTTCGATCAATTGTGTTGCTCGATTCGGTCGTCCATAATCGTAACCGTAACAATCAAACAACGCGATTGGTCGAAAACCTTACTATTACTGTTACGGAAAGTATGTGTGACTAGAGCACTAGAAATATAAGTTTCGCGTCTACCATTTTTATTCCTTTTCTTACTTTTTTTACTCTATCCCTATTCCATCACTGTGACGAGTTATGATTACAGGTTATGATTTGCTGCTTGAAATTTTGTAGCTCCTTTCATTCCATTTTTGTTCTCAAAATCAATTGAATATCTATTGTAATATTAATGCAGGACTGAAGAATGTCTGGCGTTCGAGTTATTTCTAGATAAGGTGCCAAATATGTATGTTAATTTGAAGAAAAAGATTGAAATTTCTCATCTGCGAAGAAATGTAGTGTTTATTCACAAGTCATGTATTTATTTATTTTACAGCAATACAGCAAGTTGTCAACGAATATTATCCGCAGGAAATTTAAATAATCGAATACATTTTTCTGATCTATTGATACAGTACCGCAACGCAATAAGACATTTATATAAATTTTTTTACCTTCGTTAATATATAATATTTCAGTATTTTTTATCCTTCTTTTCGTCTCTTAGTCTTATGATAAAATTTCGAAGTGAAATATATAAATACGAAGATACAAGATTTCCAATAGCTTAGAAGCTATAAACTATAACAGAAGCTATAACGATCATAACCTTCTCAGCTCAGCAACGGAGTGGGAACAGAACAAGGAGTGGCGAAAGGAGTAAAAATGGCAGATGCAAATACTCACGTTTATAATATCTTAATGTGATTAGCTTTATGCGTGGTCTACAATGGCAGTAGCAGTAACAGTAATGGATGAGGTTGTAACAAATTGACCAATCATAGTTAAATGTAAGAAGAATAATCGACTGTGATTGGTCAATTTCTTACTCTTACAATTTCATCCATTACTGATACTGCATTATGCATAGTTGATTATTTTTCTCACATTTAACTATGATTGATCGATTTCTACTCCTTAATCCACTACTACTACTGCCCATTGTAGATTATTCTTATGCATGACGTCATTTTGAACAGAAAACGTTTTAGTACACTTGTAAGAAATTTACTAGATGTAGACACAACAGAGATACATCAGGGCTGTGTGGCTCAGTGACAGAACGAATATCTACATGTATTCCGAACCGGATTAGCTTAGCTTATTTTTTTCCTTAGATGTTGGCAGTTCCGTAATTAAATCGAGAAGTGTTTCGAATACGGCAGCTGTCATAACTCGTAATTAATAGAAGTCAGTAGCTGAGTTTGACGGCCAATAGGTTCGTCCATTCCTCCGGAGGAGAGAATAGACTTGAGATTGAGATGAGGAGCACTCTGGGTGAACGAATTTATTAGAATACTGATTATTTCATTAGTCAACATACACATCTAGTAAATTTACTCGCTTTTGTAATTTTCACTTTTGAAGATACAGAATCAATCCCCTAATATTTTTCTCTGTCGTCGTCCATTGTTTACAGCTCAGAAGTGGGATTATTGTGCCTGCTACCTTTCAGTGAAAAGGAATCAGAATTTTAGAAAATATTCT